CAATCTGTGGCTTGTACAGTCGAACAAATTTGCTTCCCAGCAGGGATTATTCAAAGGGCAAACATGGCTACATCATCTGCTGTTTAAAGTCCTTCCCAGGCTTCGTCTTTGCCCGTTGTCCTTAGGGTAAACCCAGGCTCCTTCGCCCAGCACTGCAGGTTCTTCCTGTACCTTCCCTCCGCCCCTTCCCTGCCCTTATGACCCAGCAATACTGAATTACTTGTAGTTTTCCCGAGCATCATGCTGAGCTCTCTGTCTTGATTTACCTATGTAAAGAATCCCAGTTCATACTGAAGGTCACCTCTTCCAGGAAGCCACCTTAGGCTTTCCCTGGACTAGGCTAGAGGCTGCTTGTTTATTCTCCCCTCCAAACCATGAGTTCTGTGAGGACAGTGATAGTGATTTTAAGTCTTAGATCCCCAGTACCCAGTACGGGCCCTGGTGGGTACCCAGGCCTTGTGTGAGAACCCTCTGGGGACACAGGCCTTCCTCCATGGGCAGATTCACTCCCAAGGGGTAAGGAGGAAAGAAGCTGTGCTCTTCCATCTCCCCCACGTCCCAAATCACTCCTTCCTAGAGGGAGCAAGGAAGAGAGTAGGGAGGAGCCAGAGAGGAGGAACTGGAGTGCCAAGTGTGGAAGAACTCACCTCCCCAGGGCCCCAACAGAATCAACTATTGGATTTGCTCTCTGAAATTTACATTATATTGCTAAATGAATATCCTTTCTATGCCTTCCTTCTTTTCATTGCTTTTAAAGTCCTTAACTAAAACAATAAGCAATACATTATAAAATAAAAATAACATGTATAGACACAGGGTTTTAAAAACACTAACGGTGTATCGAGATGTTTCAGCATAATCCCAGCTCAACGATAATCCCAGCGTGTGTGTGAAAATCAATAATCTCTGTTGTAATTCCTCCAGCCAGAGCAATATTTCACTTTCAGCTATTTCTTCTAGAGTTTCCTCCAGATCTCTGATACCTCTTGATTTATTAGACTGAGATAATGGACTGAGCTATTTAAGGCTCAGAGCTGACCATGTCATCCTCCTGTCTGAAACGGCCCTTGTAACAAAGGAAACCCCCAACAGGGCGAACCAGGCTGCTTCGCTGGCTCCGCCTGCGCCCTCCCCAGTGCTTCTTCTCCTCATCCATTTGCATCCTCAATTTTAACACCTTTAGAGTAATCAGCCTCTGATATTCATGCCTTTGTGCAATCCTGTGCCCTTGATTGTGGCCTGGACTTTAGTCACTTATGTCTAGGGAATAGAATTTGGCAAAAGTGATGGAATGTCACTTTCATGGTTAGGTTGCAAAAAGACTCTGGCTTTTGCCTTGCTCACTTTCTCTTGTTCTCTTGCTTTCTTCTTTTTTTAAAGATTTATTTATTTATGCATACAAGAACTGGGGTTCAGGCCAGAGGTGCAGGGGGTGGGGGGGGGCTGGAGTGAGAGGAGTCACCAGAGACAGAGCAGAGAACAGAACAGGCAGATGTGCTGAGGGGAGCAGTGGGCGAGACAGGAGGGGTCTGCTGTGCCCTGTGGGTCAGCGCCCTGGCTGGGGATCGAACACCTGCTGCAGGAGAGCTTCACTCTGCTGACTTAACCCCTTGCACCACTGGGGAGGCCCTTGCTTGTTTCTTCTTCTTCTTTTTAAATGTATTTATTATTATTTTTACATCATTCATTTTGTACATTTTCTCACCTTGTTGTAACCCGTGTGGACTTCCCACCACCAATTCCCCCATGTGCCATCACCATCGTCTTGTGCTTTCTTCCCACCCCAGTTTTGATTCTACTCCCCTCTCCACCCCCGTAGAATGTCTCTTTTTCAAGGAAAGCTCTATTACAAGCTGCCCTCTGAAGAGGTCCACACAGCAAGGAACTGAAAATAAGAGTAACAGTCCACAAAGAGCTCAAGCTGCCACAGGTGTGAGTGAGCCTGGACGAGCCCCGCCCCAGCGAAGCCCTCAGCTGAGAGGCCCAGAACATTGTTAACTGGAGGCTCAAGAGACCTTGAGCCCGACTGCCCAGCTCTGCCCAGATTCCTGACCTGCACACACTGTGGGCTAACAAATTTTTGTGGTTTTAAGTTGCTAGTTTTTGGTGCAAGTCATTTGTTTGCTTAGTCATAATTGTAAATTGTCCCCCCAAATACTCCCTCCTCTTAAAATCACCTTAACAGATGGGGTGTTCCTGCCTCCCTTGTTTCTGCATCTATGTGTGGTTCTTAGGCCATTCCACTACTTCATTTTATTTTTTAAAGATTTATTTATTTATTCGTACAGATCTGGGGTACAGGCCAGCGATGCGGAGGGTGAGAGGATTCACCAGAGACAGAGTGAGAAGCAGAACAGGCAGATCGACGAAGTACACTGCTGAGGGGAGCAGCGGGCGGGTCAGGAGAGGTCTGCCGCGCCCTGTGGACTCCTCCGGGGCAGGAGGGAATCAAACTCATGCGGAGGTGGCTTTAGCTTCTCAGTGCAGTGCTCTAACCCGCTGCGCCACCAGGGAGGGCCTAACTTCATTTTTAACACACGCACCCAAGTGCTCCTTGCATCTGTCAGTTAGACATGCCCCCTCCCTGCCAGGAGGAAACCCTAAAGGCTCCTGTAGTTCACATAAGCAACTGGCAGCAGCTGGCAAGAGCAAGCTTCTATTTCCACGGGACTTCATGACTTCATGACTCTGCTTTAGGCTTCCCCAACACAGTTCAATAATAGGCTGTGCTCTGGGACGGCAGGTCCTCAGGACAGAGGGACGGCAAGATCGATTGCTTTGATTTTAAACAAACCTCCCAGCCTCTCCCTGACCAGAGGAGCATTGTTCTTCCAAGCAGACATTGCTCAAATAATTTCTGGAATCTTTCTTTGAGAACTGCCTTCCTCACCTGTTTCCAAGAAGAATAAGAACACTGGGCTTTGTCCTCCTTCTCTGCCCGCCCCAGGCCCCATTCCCTGACCTGGCGACCCTTCCCGTGGCCAGACTGAAAGAGCCCCCTCTTGGGGCTGCCTTGCCCGTTCTCGGGTCAAGTCCTGTCTCCCTGAGGCCAGCTTTTAGGGCACTTTCTCCCCCGAGGGGAGCACTGGGCATGAAGAATAATAGTTTGGATTTCATTTTCCCACTAAGAGCACTGTGTGGGCAGGGATTTTGTTTAATTCCCCAGGATCTGGCTTCCCTAGAATATAATAGATGACCAATAAACAACTGTTATATGGATGAACACATTGACTGTAAATGGCTGTGGCCTGTTTGCACAAACCAAATCCATTTTCAAGGGACCCCCTTTGCCACCCTTAAAAAAAGCAACAGCTGACCTGTAATAGGAACTTACTGAGTGCCCAGCACTGGGCCCCTAATCATGCATATTTAGTCAGCACAACGATTCTGTAGGGTGGAAGCGATCACCCTCATTTTACAGATGAGGAAATTGAATCTCAGAGTAATGAAATAACTTTCCCGCAGCCACAGCCTGGAGGCTGTCCAACTGCAGAGCTCAATCTCTGGACCAGTGTGCTATAACATTTACTTTCCTTGTTAAATTAAAAAAAGTTTGGAAATCAAAAAGAATATAGCTATGTGCAAAGAAAAGTCATGTCTATATTCCCACCAAATAGACTTTTCACTGAACTGAACATTCGTGACATCCCTCTGAGGAGACTCTTCAGAAGATCATGATACTTGAGTGGAATTTGGAAATAGCTCCTCTGCTTAGCCCCTGTAGACTGCTGGAGCCCACCGGCCAGTTCCAGAGAAAGGCAGAATGGAGTTTTGTGTCTCACGGCAATGTTGGAATTACTTTCCTGTTCCCGATGTGGTGTGGCGTGGTGCAGACGCGACTTCCTAGAGGCTGCACTGGCTGACTGTCGGCTCTCAGCCAAGGGGCCATGACGCAGGGAGGGGCTCACCTGTCTGCTTCCTGTGCCCCTAGATGCTAACAGGCCTTGGAAAGGGGAACCCCCAGTGCTATTCTTTCCCCAGTCCGAGGCTGACCCCTAGGCCAGCCCCTGGGTGGGGAGACACTGTCAACCCTTTTTATAGGCCAGCCTGGCTCTTGCCCTTATTCAGCGGTCATTTCCCTGTGTCTGAGAGAGAGACTGGCGGAGGCCACAGGACCCCACCACACCCACCCTGCACTTGGTTCTTGCCTGGATCACAGTGTGCATTTCTGTGCATGCAAGTTGTTTACAGCTCTCTCTCACTGTCAGCTGTGGGCTTCTCAAGGGCAGAGACTGCTTCTTATGTATCATTCTCTCTGCAGTATTTGTAGATATTCAGTAAACCAAGGCACCTAGATACCAGCTATGGGAAAATGGAGAAACACTCTCGGGATGGGACAGATTCCTGCTCTGCCACAGATTAGCTGTGTGGTTTTAGGCAAGTGACTTAACCTCTCTGAGCTATGATGTTCTCACTGGTAAAGTGAGAGCAGTAGAGCTTGAGCTTGGTAAGTGAGGAGTAAATGGGTTCATGGACGTGAACCTCCCGAGGATAAGCTGTTTCTAGACCACAGTGGGAGTTATAGCAGGGGGATTATGGCCTGAACTTTGCTGTGGTGCTAGAGCAAGTGACTCACTCAACCTCTCCGGAGTCCAGCTCCTTCCTCTCGGAGGGAGCACCTACTTCACGGGGCTGCTGAGCACTTCGCGTTAAAAATAGTCTGTGTGAAAAAAAAAAATTAGTCCGTGTGGAAGTTTGATGCGTACTAGGTCCTCAGAGAAACCTCTCTTACGCTGTCTAGATGAATTCAGGCCTCCCCACTGACACTTGGCATCTCAGACGCTGCATGGAGGGCGGTGTCCAGGACTCGAGGGAGCTGAGTCCGTCCATCAGAGATTCTAGAAACGGCCACTGGCAGTTAGCCCAGCACAGTGTGGTCTCTTCTTCAGAGAACAAAAGGGAAGAGGAGCCTGAAAACTTGGCTCTCAGGGGTTCACAGCATCAAAGCGCCCACTGCGTCTCCTAGCAGAAAATCCAGATCTTCCTATGAAGACAAATCACCCAGGAGCTGTGAACAATCGAGCGAGACATGGCAAAACACGCACCCGAGCCAGGATGTTCTGTGATGTTTATAATTAGCAAAGACACTCAGAACAGGGCGGGAACCTGGGAAGCCTGAAGGGGAAGCAGTACAGGCTCAGCTGGAATTTTAAAGAGGACTGGAAGGACCAAGGGGTGTTGCTCTTATCCCAGGAGGACAAGGGGAGCTGGGAGAGGCGCTCTGGCCCAGGCTGGAGTGGGACCTTCAGCACTTCAGAAGGCGAGTCGGGGTTTGAGTATAATCTGGGGAAGTCCTCTCGGCCTCGCAGAGAGGCAGGGGTCCATTCGGCAGGCGTCCCCCGGGCGGTGACATCTTCATGACGCCCCTGGCGGCTCTCTCTGCGAATACAGGTGGGGACCCAGGCTGCCCCCCCCATTGGGTGTTCTCTGGCCGTCACGGGGTCTTCTGCAGGTTCTCCGGCCCAAAGGAGAGCGGCAGTAACTCCTGGACTGTCTTCCTCAGGTACGTGCCGTCCGGCTTTGTCATGTAGACAGTCCAGGTACAGCCAAACTGGAAAAGAGGAAAGCCAGCATGAGGGAGGCCGTGGCAGGGGCTCGAGGCTGGCTCCGCCTGTCTAAGGGCCTCTCCAAGCCTCTGCTTTCTCTTCTGCAAAACGGGGAGGACTAGCCTGGCGCAAGGAGCTTGGGGAGCAGCCAGGCAGAGGGAGCCATTAGCACCGGGCCTGGTGTGCTGTGATGACGCACTCAGGACCCAGGCCGTTATCAGACACGGGATCCCGGGGCAGAAGTCCTCTCGCTGTGACAGACCGTGGCTGACATCGGCTTCCATAAGCACCTCTGTATGCTCACAGCCAGAGAAGTCGCTCTCTGGCCTCAGCACCCTCTAGCTTCTGCTCACGCGTGACCTCACCTCTACCCTTTAAGGAAAGTGCTATCATTACTCGTGTTTCAGATGAAGAAACTGAGGCTTAGCAAGGTAAAGTCAGCCAGGCAGAATTTCAGTACCAACCTGTCTTCCTGTCTTTCTCTCACATATCAGGAGCTATTGCTTCTTTTTTTATTTTTAAGGATTTATTTATTTATGCATACAAGAACTGGGGGACAAGCCAGAGGTGCAAGTGGATGAGAGGATTCACCAGAGACAGAGTGGGGAGCAGAACAGGCCGATTGACTGAAATACGCTGTTGAGGGAACAGCCCATGAGACAGGAGAGCTCTGCCTCGCTGTGTAGGTCACCTCCCTGGCCGGGGATCGAACTCATGCTGCAGGGGCTGGGACAGCTTCATAGTGCTGCGCTTTAACCCGTTGTGCCCACCACTTCTTGTCATATGACTTGGGGACTAAACTCTCAGGGGTGTCTTCACCTGTGAAGCGGTTTTAGAAACAGAAGAATATACTAGGCAGGAAGGCAAGTTGAACGACAGGTCTTGGGGTCAGTCACCTGACCCAGGCTCTACCTGGCTGGGTGTTCGGGGATTAGACTGGGGCTGGGGGGGCCTCAAACATTGTGCCAGGCGCAGCTCAGACACTCAGGCTCTAGCAACCATCAGGGGTGCCAGGGGCAGCCTGCTTTCTCCCACACTGCTGTCCGAATCACCCCCTTATCACCCGGCTTTTTGAGAACTAATGTTTAAGGAAAATGCCTCTGCTTGGCAGGCCCGGCTGAAGGAATGGGTGAGCGCATAGCAGGCGCCTCCACATCTCCTGGTATTTGCATTTTGGTTTCAGTTCTGCTTCTGCCTCCTTCAGCTTTTTCAGTTGCCTTTTCTTGTTTGCCAACATCTATTCTGTGTGCAGAAAACAACAGTGAGCAATTAGACCGAGTCAGGGCCTGGGAGCCAGGGAGCTGGTGTCTGGGGTGGTTTCCTTATATGGCTTTGGGTGTGCCAGGCGTCGCACAAGGCGAGATGGTGTCCACACCGTCATCCGGTGCCTTCAAGAGGCATTTCTCCTCTGGGTTTGGGAGATGAGCTCTGTGCACCGTGTCTGGTCTGCGGTGCTGGCAACAAGAACGGGGACGCTGGCGTGTGTGACAGATGCTGGGAAAACCCAGGGCTCACATGCAGGATCCAAACAGCTCTTTCTCCTCCCAGAATGAGACAACTCAGAAAGCAAGTCCCGCCCCCAATGGAACGAGCAGGTCCCAAGCAGCAGAGCATCCCAACATGTCTTGTCTGCAACCTTGAATTTGTTGCACGTACAGGACTGCGAGGCACAGGCCACGGGGAGCAGCGTGGCCACGCAGCCAGCTCGCCACCGATGGGCCTTGTATCCCTGGGCAGGTCACGTGCCCCGGTGGGGAGGGGTGATGACAGATGCTCCCCTGCCTGGCGGGGTGGGGTGACAGGAGCCTTGCATCTAGAGCGGAGGATGACGTCACATCAGGGCTCAAGGGATCTTCTAAGTGGGGGGCTTTAGGAGTTTGGGGATCTGAGGACACAGGTCTCTGAGTCCACAGAAGCTGCTGACACCCCCAAACGTACATATAAACATCAAAAAACTCCCCCTTTGTTTTCAGAGTTGAAGAAATTGAAGCCTTCCAGCAGGAGATCTGTACAAAAAGTACATCGAGTCCCTCAAGTCCCTCCTTACAGCTGTCCAATGGCTTTTCTGAATTCTTCTTCTCAACTTTGTTTATAATGTGGTAAATATACACAGCGTAACATTGATATTACATAAACTTTACCACTTTATAGTCATTTTAAGTGTACAAGTCAGTTCTCTCTGTTCTGTTCTTGGAATAAAATATACCCTCCACCCCATGACCTACAAGGCCTTTTGTGATCTGGCCCCTTTGTCTTCAAGTCCTGTCCCCTTTGCTGTCTACTCACAGTGCTTTAGCCCCTTATTTATCAAACTCAGCAAGGGTATGGACGTTAAACTAGCTGGCGGCTCTGTCGGGAATGGCCCCCGCTATTGGCTGTCTCATCTTTTCTCATTACTTCTATCTCTGCCAAATGGCATCTTCAGTCAGCCTCTTCCTGGCCATCTAAAGCAGGGTTTGGCTCATTTTTTTTTTTCCTGCAAAGGGCCAGATAGTAAATATTTTAAGCTCTGTAGGCCATGTGGTTTCTGTCATAGGGCTAACTTCTGCTGTTGCAGGGGGTCAACGTGTAACGGGGGGTTCCCCTGGAAAAGGGGAGGTTCCAGTTCCCTGCCTCACCCAAAAGGAGGGTGGAGCTGAGCAGGAGGAGAAGAATCTAGAGAGGAATCTGAGGAAGAAGGAAGCAGGATAGAAGCCAGAAGGAAGCAGGAAGGAGGCACAGGGAGCAGAGACATGTGAAGAAACTGTGCTTATTTCTTGGCCCAGGACTGGGTGACACAGACGTGGGTAAGAGGCCCACGGGGAGGTGACTGTGGTCGCGTGTATCTTGATTTCGATTGTGCTCTTCCCTCCCAGACTTGTCTGGCCATTTCTGACCCTTTCCCGTGTGTCCCGGCCAGAAGGTGCTTTAGTCTTGTGGCAGCTTTCAGGCCTTGCTCCGGGCCAGTCCCTTTTGGGTGGACTTTTACCCACGAGGGGACGGATAACTTCAGGTGTTTGATTTAGAAACTATATTCATTCTGCTTGCTGTATTACACACTCATTGTATTAAATTTCCTTTCCACTAAAGGTCTCATGTCTTGTCTTGATGCGGCGGATGGCAGAACCTATTTAGAGCAGGCAGGTTTGGGGGTTCAATGGTGCCTCTCTCCCTGCCTGTAACAACATCTGCTATAGACAAACTTTGAACCAATGGGCATGAGTCAATAAAACTCTATTTGCAAGAACAAGCAGCAGCTGGATTCGCCATGGATCGTATTTGCTGACCCTGAGCCTGACCTAGAGTATCATCTGCAGCGCTTTCTGTCATTCCAATTCCTTTTTTATGGTTTTTTTTTCTCTGAACCCCTCATCTCAGAAATGATACTGTTTATTTATTTTACTCTTCATTTACTGTCAGTCTCCTGCACTAGACTGTAAACTCTGTGAGGGCAGGAGCTGGTCTGTCTTTTCCCTGTTGCCTCCCAGAACTAGCTCAGTGCCCAGCACAAACACTCAGTAACTATTTGTTGAACTTATGAATAATTTCCAGTGATTCATGGACACTCAGAAACTGGCCCACCGGGCAAACAGGACAGTAGCTGTGTCTCCTGGCCAGCAGCCCAGCGTTGCTCCCACAGCTTGAGAAAGCAGGGAGGCCTCCTGTCTGTACTCCAGAGCAAGGAAGAGAATCTGCTTACCTCTCTCATGACTTGCCTGCAGGCACCACACGGTGAGATAAAATCATCTTGCATGTCACTGGGGAAACAGAATCAAATATGGATTAGTCTCCAGAGGTCTGAGGACAATTGCCAAGATTCAGACCTGCGTCCTACCCCGCCCCAGATGAAGCCAAACCCCATCAGGCAGTTCCCGGCTCACGGACACACCATGTCCTAGAGGCTGAGGGAAAGATGCCTGGTGGCTCTCCATGCTCCCAAGAGGCCAAACCACAGGCAAGAACGTTGTTTGTGTTAGAGCAGCCAATGAGCAATGAGGGGGTGAGTGCTTAGCCCACACCCAGGAACACAAAAGTTAAGGAGAATTTGTCTCTGGCCTTCAGAGATCACTCAACCCAGTGGGTGACATAAACAAGCAGGTGAGTTATCATTGTAGACAAAATGCAGTAAGAGCACACAGTAAGAGAAGAACAATCCCTATCTGTGGAGAGAAAATGTGTTATGGCATTTGACCCGGTCCCTGGAGGAGGCGTACAGGTCACTGTTACTGAGGACCACCGGGCACCAAGACCTATTCCAGGCACGTGGCCGCCACTCTTTAATTCTGAGGACAATCTGAGTGTCAGAATGACCACTCTACCTGCAAGGAAAGAGGCTCGGTGCAAACAAGGAACAGGTGTTCTTCAGAAGCCCTGAGTTTATAGATTAGCAGGAAATAGTATGTGCAAAGGCCCTGAGGCGTGAAAGAATAAGGTGTGTGAGTCAGAGAAAAATGGGCTTCTTGCATTCAAGAAGGTCTGGAGATGAGGAGTTCACAGTCAAGAGATCACGTCTGAGGATGTAGGGGCCTAGAGGCCACCCGTCAGTTTTGAGCAGGATAAAGGATGATGCTTAAAGATAGATCTAGGGGGCCTCCTTGGTGGCACAGGGGTTCTCTTCACTATGAGGCTATCTGCAGCACTGCAGCACAAATCCCATGCCCAGCCAGGGAGCTGACCCAAACAGTGCTGCAGACCTCTCCTGTCTCACCTGCTGCTCCCCTCAGCAGTGTGTTTCAGTCAGTCTGCCTGTTCTGCTCCCCACTCTGTCTCTGGTGGGTCCTCTCACCTCCCCACCTCTGCCTGTACCCCGGCTCTTTATGCATAAATAAATAAATCTTAAAAGAAAAAAAAAGATACAGATTTATAGATTTAACTGTAGGAGACTGGAAGCCTACTGGAGCATTTGAAGTTTAGCCAGCGGCCACCGCTCTTGCCCTGTGATAAGGCTGGGAGAAGGTGGGATTTAAAATTTGCTTCTTCATCAGTTCCTCTTCTTGCTAATTAGGTGTGACTTTGACCGGGTCATTTTCACCCATGCGAGGCTCATTGCTTTGCCTATAAAATGTGCACAATAATGTCATCTACGTTGTAGGAATGCAGGACAATAACATGCCCTAAGGCACAATAAGAGCACCTAAGTGCTATGTAAACTTTGGAATGCTGTATACCGAGATGGTTATTGCTGTATGAATTACAGCCTGATGATTAACGGCTTAAACCTAAATTCCTTTATATCTATAAACTGTCATAATTTTAGAATCTTATCATTTATAGTTGTATTATATACTATGTGCTTTTATGCATAATTTTATCAATAACTTATTTGATTACATATTAACAATACTTACATGGATGTGTGCACAGATATCCTGCAAAACACTTTATATGCACTGTCTCATTTTCATGAACAGATCGTACGGGACACCAGCTAGGTGATAATGCCTCACTGGCAGGCACCATCAGTGCTGGGGAAATGGCAGTGAACAAAAGACAAAATTCATTGCACTCAGAAGTTTCTGTCTGGTCAGGGGAGTGGGTTAGCCAGCCAGCCAGTCGACCAACCAGCCAGCCTACCGTGTATCGAGTGGAAATAGAGAAATGCTATGAACTGAATAAGCAGAGGAACGAGAGCAAGTGATGGCTGGTGTATTTGATCCTCATGATAACTCCATTGTGTAGGTTCTGGCCCATGAAAAGGTGGAGCCTGAGCACACTCCAGCTTCAGAACCAAAGCCGGTGGGACCCCAGAGAGTGGGCCAAATGAACTCTTACGATGAGTAGGGGACCGGCGTGGCAGCCGGCCTCTTGTGAGCTCTCTGGAAGCTGGACTCTGTTCTCTTTTAGTCCCTTCCTCACGCCCTCATGAATAGCTTGAAGGAACAGCCAAGACCCGCCAGAGAATCCCTGACTTCCCCCTTCACCCTACTGTTCGGGAAGGGAGAGAAGCTGTGTGCGGAAGATATACGACGCTGGCAGCATGTGGTCAGGCCCCGGGCGAGGCGTGCTGTGTGACGCCGCCTCCTTTCCTCTATGAAGCAGTCCCTGCCATGCTCACCACCTCCCTTCCCAACCTGTGACACACATGGCCACGTGGGCGGCCCCTGGCCAAGCCCGAGCTGCACTGGGGTTTCCAAGGGTGTGCAAGAACATGCATCCCCCTGGGAAGCCGATTCAGCTGGTGCATGCAGGCAGCTCTGCGAGCCCAAAGTCAGCCTGATGACCGTGGCTGTCACTCAGCTAGCAGAGGGGCTCACGCCTATCGGCGGCTGTCCCCTTGCCACCCTAGAAGGCAAGGGCTTTATGCACTGCATCTTGCCCACATGCTCATGAAAGGGAAGTGACCCTCCCAAGGTCACAGAGCCAGGGTCAGACACACATCTGCGAGCTCTGTTGTGGGTAGCTTTGCAGTGATTGCGTAATGAGAACCTGAAAACAAGAGCTTTGATTTACAGCATGCTCTCTGCCAGGAGCTTTACACAAATCATTTCCTGAGTTCCCACGACAGCCCGATGGGTCACTGTCACTGTCCTCCACTTTACAGGTGAAAAGGCCAGGCCCAGATCATTGCAGCAACGTGTCCAAGGTCAGTAGCAGAGCAGGATTTGAAAAAGGTCTCATGAGCCCGGGAGCCTGGACTTTTAACCATGACTCTACATTTCTGTCAATAGGGAGAACTGAGTGCTTGGAAGAAGATGTACCCCGGAGTGATGCTGGGAGCATCGGCTGTCCCCTTGTTCTGAGCAGTGACAGTTCCCTGTGGTTTGTGCTGACCTTGGTCACCCTAAAGTCAATTATCAGACTCAACAGCCTGGAAATCTTTTGACTTTGGTGGTGACGACGACGGGGGCCGCAAGGGGACGAGCTTCTGTCCCTATTACCAGATTCGATGTGTGCTTTGCATCCCTCATCTTTCCCATCTCGAAGGGGCTCTCTTGGCTGTTCACACCTATCGGTGTTAACAAGGGAGCTGGCGTTTCCCCTCCATCTGCTAAATCCATGCTCTCAGTTTAACAAATCATTAGTGCAGTAATGACAGTCTGGCTTGGGATGCTGGCGCAGGCTGAATACCCAGAGAGGAGCATTTGGGTGCTGGAAAAATGCAGGTTTTGTGTAAATAATAAGCCCGTTTGCTAATTATCACCAGTCATACCCAGTCATCCGATAATGACCAAGAGGAAGAGCCTGTCCTTCGGGGTGTACTAAACAGAGCGAGGCCACCATGCCATTACCCTCGTGTTGACTTTGGCCTCTTTCCCCCTGGAATGTCATTATTTTCGTGGATCAGCTCTTAAATTGAATACTCCCTTTACTTTTTTTTTTTTTAAGAGCAATTCACATTCTGATCTCTGCTCATCTGCACAAAATGTTCCCAGCATGAAATCATTTATCCCTCCCAAAGCCAGAGGGAGACCAGGACAGACTTCAGTCAAGGGGAGAGTATTCGGAGACTGGGGCCTTCTCCCCAAGTTGTCATGGGTGCCTGCGACTCTCCCTGTGGCCAGACACGCCAAAAGACCAACCCTGGGCCAGTCATGCAGGCTTTCTGGCGGGTTAAACGTCTGCCATGTTATCCTGTGCGTCGCTTACTCGCTGAGGTTGCTCTCTGTCACAGACGGCGTGAGAGTACTACGCAAGAGCGATTCGCCACTAAATGGGAGACAAAGTGGGGCCCGCGTTAGGAAAAGGGTCTGCTCACAGGCTCGGATCCTAAAGTCACTGAGCCGAGGTCCAGGTCGACTGAGATCCGTCTGGGGGTATGCAGGCGAGAACTTGGATTACACTGGGGCACACAGAGAGTTGGTGAGTGTGCTTGTTTGGCCAGAACCTGGGCTGGAATCTGATTGTTTGAGCCACAGTTTCCTGCTGGGAGGGGAAGGGGTCAGCTTGGATTCGGGGACCAGCTTGAGAAGAGCACTTGCAGGGGGCTGGGAGCTGCCATGAGACCGAGGCCCGTTTTGCCCGGGCCATGCCTGTAGCTCCTTCCCCCTGGGCCTGTTTCTGCAACTGTGAAACGGGGGTAAAGGTCAGGGAGTTTATGCCGGGTGACCTGCGGTCCCTCCAGCTTCAGGCCTCTGTGCTACCTTGCTGTTGCTTCTTGTGGGTGTCTGTTGCACTCTGCTGTTGCTAGGCCAACCCACACCTGTCCTTGCCAACCCAGACGCCTTGGTTATTTACTTGCTCTGTGGCTTTCTGAGGACACATTTCTTATGTATCTCCTGATCTTCCACATTCAGCCCAGTGCCTGGCACACAGGATGTACAAAATAAGCACATGCGTGAATAAAAGGTGTGTAGTGGATGTTGGCTGAGAAGACACACAGATATGGCTGGCACTTGGCTTCCCACTCACCTGGCGATAGCAATTGCCCGGAAGTCTTTGTACCCTTCTGAGACGGCCTTCTGGATAGCCGTGCGCTCAGCACAGATACCCAAGGGGTAGCAGGCATTTTCGACGTTGCACCCTGTGGAGAGAGGAGAGCCTGGCAATATGCCCAGCAGAGTGACTTTCTGTTGTGTGTGCCAAGGAAGTGGCTTGCTCTTTGCCAGTGCAAGGAGGGCTGTCACTCTGTACCAGGTGGGGGGAAGGAAAGGCAACGAGACCTGAAGCTTGGGGAGACACTGACCCACTGGGCTGGGGTTCTGCACAGGGACCTTCCAATCTCCTTGCTCATCAATGCCTCCATCTCAAAGCGCAGGCTGGGAGCAGGGGCAGCATAATGGGCCGTTTAAGATACTCACCAGGGTGGGTATCTTCACACTTCTTACCCAGCGGTTAGGTAACTGCAGGGGCCAGAGTCTGTTACGCATTTCCTGTCTTTGACTGGGCTGTGTTCACTGCCTCTCCCAGATTCTGCCTCTCCCAGAGGAAGATTCCTGCCAGCCTTGTCTAGCAAAGCTCCCAGCCCCGCTGCAACTCAGAGGCAGTTTCCTCATTAGATGGGATTCATAAAGCTTAAGTTTCACTGATGTGCTGTTGAAGCAAATTGCCAGAACGCAGAAGGCCCTTGTCTGGGGACTTGCAGGTATCAGTCCTGGAGGCCAGGTTGGCCTCTTAGACCCACAGAGCTTTGTGAAAAGCCTGCAGGTTCTGCCCTCCCCTGGAAAGCTTTGCCCTGTGGGTTCTGAGAATCTGGGCAAGGGACTGAACCTCCTTGAGGCTCAGTGTCCTCATTTGTTCAAGTGATAGTGATAGGGCCTTCCTCACAGGTGAGAACAAGTTGAGCTCATGGAAAGCAATTAGCAGAAAGCCTGGCGCAGAGTAAGTATTACACAGCTGTTAGCTGCCCCGATTAATTGCTTGCGAGACAAAGTTTCGTCAGTGGTAGAGCTGTGAGACAGTCTCTGTTCCTTCTTGACAGGGTGTGTCAGTGGTCCTGTCTCAGTCCTTCAGGCACTCTGAAACCCTGTCCATTACTAGAAGGACCTACAAAAGCTGGTGCCAACCTACCTACATCTTGGACTTCATATTCTTTTGCTCTCTGGGCCCATGGGCTTGCCAGAAGTTCCCAAGGGTCCCAATGTAGAGTCCTGCCACAGGGCTTTTGCACTGGCTGGTCCTACTGCCTGAACACTCCTCTTTCTAGCTGCACATGACTGGCCCTACTCAGGTATCTGCTCAAATGTCACCTCCTCAGAGAAGCCTGCCCTGATTACTTGATCTCAAATCACTTCCTCCTCCCCTCACCTCCAACCCTCTTGGTTTCATCTTCTTTTTATCACTTCCCGTTTTATCCTGTTTTCATTTTTCTCATGGCACCAACACTTTCCTGGAACAAATGTCTTGGTTACTTAAAGCCCACATCAGTGTCAACCTCCCCGGACAGGGCTTTTGTCAATGCCGTGTATTACAGCACCAGAGCTGGGGACACTGAGGCAGTGAGCCCTGGTCACTACCAGTGGATACTCCCACGTCAGAGCATGCAAAGGGGCCTTCAGCATGGTCAAGTGCAATGCCCCAGCCTTGCTTTAAAGAAGAAGAGGGGGGAAGCCCTTGATGAGACACTGATCCTGAAAGACCAGGCAATTTTGTTTTGCCTGCTTAAGCCCAGAAAACAGGCTACCAGCCACCCAGGCAAACCATCTCTATGCCCGGGCTGCCATGACTTACTCTGAACCGCATGAGATAGACTGGGTATCACCAAGCCAAGAATCCATGATTAGAAGAAGGGATCAGGGCCCTCCCTGGTGGTGCGGCAGCTTAGAGCGCAGCACTATGAAGCCATCAGCAGCCACTGCAGCATGAGCTCGATCCCAGGCCAGGGAGCTGACCCACATGGCACATCAGACCTCTCCTGACCCGCCCGCTGCTCCCCTCAGCAGTGTATTTCATCAGTCTGCCTGTTCTGCTCCCCACTCTGTCTCTGGTGAATCCTGTCACCACCCCTGCACCTCTGGCCTGTACCCCAGTTCGTGTATGCATACATAAATACAGCTTTAAGAATATAAAAGGGCCCGAATAGGACTGCACTTACTAACTGCCGCCATTAGCTGCTTTCTTGGATGTCTCCTTGCTGTTCATTACGTGCCAGGCACTCTGTGGACAACTTTACCTGTGCCAGGGCATTAATCCTGTTGACGGCTCCAGCAAGCAGATACTATTATGCCCCATTTTACAGAAGGTAAATGCTGAGGCCTCAGCATTTTCCTTACAGCATTCAGACACCCTCTTCTGAGGTGGTTTGGTGTTTAAGTTGACTGTCATCAAGACACCAGCAAGGAAGGAAGTTTACTCAGAGGGGTTCAGGCTCCCACCCCCACCGTCCACCACGGGCCTCTGAGGGGTCCCGCTGGGATGGGCACAGAGCTCCGCACCCTCAGGGAGTGGCCTCAGCCAGCAGGAGGCTGGACGCAGGCGTGTGAGCACCGCCCCACCCCCCACCCCCGAACTGCTGCCGCAGGTTCGAGCAATTATGCTACAGTTTCAGGGGTGAAGGATGTTCTAGCAGCTTTAGAGTTAGGGACTTTAGGGTCTATCATCTCTGCCATGAGCCACTTGGCAGTGCCAGTGGAGATGGCGGGGGAGGGGCCAAAGGCAACAGGTTGGGTGGGCAAATGGGCTCAGGGAAGCCTGCTTTGAGGCCTGGGGGTGCTGGGGCGGGGGCGGGGTGGCCACAAAGCAGTGAAGGAAGTCCAGGGAGGCGTCCGAGGGGCAAGCACGCGTCTGGCCCCAGATGGATCAGATTTAAGGATTAAAGCAGAACAGGTGCGATTTAGGGATTAACCAGATGTCCTTACGTGTCCCTGGCTTGTTCCTCCTGGAATTCATGACAGCTGATCCAGTAAAATGACTTTCCCCCTAAATGCCTGGGGTACACAGGAAGTCCAATGCCCTCTGGAGAAGTGAGGGAGCAGCAGACCACTGTTTGGGAGGCAGGGGCTAGAGGCAGGCGCCCTCCGCCATGATGCCAGGACGTGTCCTCCGTGACTCCCCACTCATCTCCCCTCCACTCCACACTGCTGGGCCCTTCCTGCCCTGCCTGGTCCTCCTGGGCCCCTCAAACCTGCCTGCCCGCCCGCCCGCTGCTCCCTCTGTCCTCACCACTCCTTCCCACCTCGGCAGCTCTTTGTTTCCCTGCAGCTCCTCACCCTCCCCACAGCCATCACCAGCTAGTTCGTAACCACCCTGGTGGCCGTCCACCTGGGAGGGAAGACACACTGGGAGGAGACCACGCCCGCAAGCCTGTCCTTGCAGCCAGACTTGCTGTTCTGGACTGGCTGGGACACAGCTGCCTCTGAGGGTACAAATGCCTGCCCCACTCTCAGCCCACTACATTCAACAGTCCCTGAGTTTGAGGGGTCTAACTCACCGCCAAGAGCCCTATGGGGTTCATCCAGTTAATCAGAGCCCCTTACCCTCCCGGCCCGCCTTAAGCCATTTACACCCCCTTCCTTTCCATCTCCACAAGGAGACCCAGGGATTCTGGAAGGCACCCGGGGTGTGCCCCCCTCCTCAGGCCAAGTCTCCCCGCCCTCTGGCACAGCCACCCTGCAGGAAGTGGGGCAAGAGAGCACGGCCTTCGGAATCAGGTGCAGCTGGGCTCGGTTATCGCGTTCATAAAATGTGGGTGTGTTGGCTATTAGTTTGGCCTTCTGGGTAGCCCCACAGTCCCGCTGTGGTTACAGATCCACCCAGTCCCCTGGGAGGAGCACGCGAATCAGCTGGCCGTCACGCTGGAGAGTAACTGGGCTGCGTGTGTGCTGGAGGTGGCCCCCGGGTCACGCCGGAGAGTAACTGGGCTGCCTGTGTGCTGGAGGTGGCCCCTGGGGGCCTGCCCTGAACTTCCCATCTTCCTGTGTGGGAGGTTGTAAGATAAACCAGAGGCTAACTGGACACACGTCCCCTGAGGCCTGGAGATGACACCTGCAGGCTGAGACGGAAACCAGCACCCTGAAGGAAAAGAGCGTGGGGCATTTGAGTTCCCGATGCCGCCAGCATGGATCCTTCCCTGCCCGTTACAATGAATGGCTCTGCCTGTGGCTCTTACCCGCCCCTCAGCTGCTGGCTGAGAGGTGACACTCCTCACTAAGTGCCTCAGGAAGACACCAGCCCCTGAATCTGCTGCCTCGCTGCTGGCTCACCACGCCCCCAGAACAATCCAGCTTTGCCTCATCCTCCTCCCCCTGTCTGGGCCTCATGGTCCACCGGGCTGGAAACCCAGAGCCAGCCACACCATTCCCTTCTTCCTAAAGCTGCAGCTCCTAGGGCCCCCCTCCAGCCCCACCCCACAAAGCTCAGGTTGCCTCTTCTATATTCCACCAGCGCTGTCCCAGCCTGAGCCATTCATCCAGGCCTCCAGGGACCTTGCGTCCAGGCCCTGCAACAGCCCGGGCGAGGTGCTGGCACCGGGACAGCTCATGCAAGGCAGACACTGCCCACTCACCCTCCCTCCTGCACCCGCTGTCCCTGAGTCTCTGTCAGACTAACTGTCCTCCCACACCATGTCCATGCTACTCTTCTTCATAACACTCCCTGGCTCTCTACTTCCTGCCACAGCAAATCTCAGCGCCTCTGCTTGGCTGGCAAACAGCCTCCCTCAGCTGCCTCTAATCAGCTGTCCCATCTTCCTTGCTCCACTAGTAGCAGCAGTGTGATGTTCCTGTTGTGGGTCTGACACCACGCTAAACACTGGAACCATCTAGAGCCTCCCCACCAGGGGGAGACGGAGCCTGAGCCAGGATGGATGTGACACAGTCAGTGTGGCGAGGAGTAGGCACCCCAGGGACTAGGCACCCCAGACACGGGGCAGCAGGTGCCCCAGGCAGTAGGTGCCCCAGGCAGTAGGCGCCCCGGGCAGTGGGCCTCCACTGGCGGAAGTACACCCCGAGACTCAGCAGGGCAGGAGAGGGATGCAGGGCTACACAGCAGATAAACAGCAGCACCGCCCCAGAGCCTTCAATTCACCCCATTCCACTGGGTCCCCTAAATACCGCCATAGGACTGTATCTGCTGACACCAGATCCTCCCAAGCAACTGAAAAGGGCCACACTTTCATCAGTTAGTTCCTTGCGACCCCTTCCACAATCACTGAGGGTGGAGGCCCCACAATCACTGAGGGTGGAGGGCCTGGGCTTCAGAAGCTGGCTGGCAGGGACGCCTCTCTGCCTTTGCATACAATGGGTGCTCAGCAAATACTTGCTGAATGACTAAATCACTGTCAGGAGGGGGGGGGCCCTCTCACTACACTTCTGGAACTGATGTGGAGGCCCCGGGCAGAAGCAGGGGCCAGTTGGCCAGTGGGGTTAATGTTTAATAATCATCTGAGTGACCAGGCCAGGCCTGCGCTTCCATGAGACACTCAGGGGTTCTTTACTGCCCGCTGGCCAGCAGACTTGGGAGTCCAGGGAATTCTGGGTTTGATTCCCAGCTCTGTGATCCTGGGCACTAAACCTCTTGGAACCTCAACTCTCCTCTCTGCGAAGTGGGGTGACAGGGTTGCGCGGATATTAGTCACGTCCCTTTCACACCAAGCTCGTCATCAAGGTTACTCCTCCTGCTTGTAGATGTGTGACACACTGGTGAATGTATACTAAGCCTCAAAAGACAAGAGGCGACATGAAGCTGGCGGAGAACTCGGCCCTGGAGCCGCTGGGAGAGCTGATGGCCAGGGCGGAACTTCTGAGCCTTCAGCAGCTGCCCCACGCAGCGGGAAGGGGATCCCTAGGATTCTGCGCCAGCTGGCATCCGCGACTTCCCCACCCTACATCATCTTCCCCCTGGCTCACAGAGAGAACGTTCTAGGCTTAGCAAAAACAAATTTCAGCTTTTGATCAGGTGAACTTGTCTGTACATACAAACCAAAGTCACGGAGCTTGGGAGCAGACCGGTGTAGAGTGAGGTGCCAGCCCGCCCCTCCCCAGGCGTCAACAGCTGGCCCTGCCAATCAGTTTCTGTTTCCCTGCAAGGCTGCATCTGGCAACTGCTGGATGCAGACGCCAACCTGGGGTCCTCCTTTCTTCCCAGCCCTCCCCCCACAGGAATGGGGCTTGGGGACCCCAGGCCTGGTCCACCACCAGCACCTTGTGTGTCCTTGAACAAGTCATGTCACCTCTGTGTCTTGGTTTCTTCACTGAAAATAGGTATAAGGCGCAGGCCAGTGGGTGGCGTGAGCACCCCTGAGGCAGTGGGGGTGGCGGGAGCTCAGGGGAGCAGCACAGAGTACTGACCCCTGTCTCTCCCGGGCTGCGGACACTCTGGACTTGTGGCTTTGCCTTCCAACTCCCTCCAGCACCTCCAGCTCCCAGGCCACCCCAAATTCTAAGTGCCTACTTGTGAACACACCTTTGCCCCACAGTCTGGGAGGGTAGAGACTCTGGGAGAGAGGGGGTACCTGGTCGATTTCCAGGGGAGCCCAGCCAGGAGCGGAAGCTGGCTCCCACCTTCCTTGCCCAGCCCTGCCCCGCCGACTTGGGAGGGAGCCCCGGTACCAGTACCGACCCTTACCAGAGAAGATCTTCCCGTCCTGCGTGAGGAGGGCGGCCCCCACGGGGAAGTGACTGTAGGGGCAGTAGGCCGCCTTCTTGGCCTCCTGGCAGGAGAGCAGCAGCCGCTGGACTTGCTGGAGCTCCAGGGCCCCGGCAGAACACTCCTGGGCCATGTCGGTTCCTGGAGCAGCAGACTTGAGAAAACTGAGGTCGAGGTCGTTCTGGGCCAGCCTAGGCTGCTGCACCGCCCCCCCCCAGACTCCTCCCCGAGGGTGTGTCCCTGCCCAGCAAGAGGTGAGCTCCAGCTGGGCCCCAGCGGGCAGCGGGCAGCGGGCAGCGGGCGGGGTGGAGTGGACCCCACCCTGCTCCGGCCTCTGGTTTGGGGCAGGGGTGTTGGCCCAGCTGGGAAGACTGCCCGGCCCAGATTGCATCACAGCCTCCTCGGGTCACTTTCTATGTATGGGCAAAAGTGGGAGCCACTGTTCAGGGGGTGACTGTGAGCACATTCCTCAGGAGAGAATCTGCCAGGCGGGTCAGACTGAAGTCCAGGAGTTCAAGCTCTAAGGGTTGAAACATCTTCGTTTGTGAACTACTATTTCTCATATCTGAGGGATGGGGATGGATGAGGCGGAGAGGGCCGGCCTGGGGCAGCCACACTGGCTTCCTGAGTGAGGCAGTATGGACAGAAGGAGGAATTTCTTTTTGTAATATAGACATGTTTATTGTGTGGAACTGGCGTGTCGTCAGAGGTGTCGGGGTGTGTGAGAGGACGTACCAGAGACAGAACAGGGAGCAAACAGGTGGATCTGCTGAAATACACTGCTGAGGGGAGCAGGGTGTGGGTCAGGAGCGGTCTGCTGCCACGCAGTGTGGGCCACCTCCGGACCGGGATCAAACTCAGGCTGAGGTGGTGACAGGTGGTCACAGTGCTGAAATGAGGCCTCGACCACCAGGCAGGCTCGGGCACATTCCTCTGTTTTCAGCCCTTCCCTCTTTGGCTCCATGTTGCTGCAACCCCCAGAACTGAAAAGCATCTCAGCTGAGACGCTCAGAGGGGACCTCTGACACTCTCTGCCTTCTTGTTTCATGGGTAAATGGGTGTTGGGTCCGGTGGTCAGCGAAATGGGTTTGGGTCCTGGCTCCACCACTTTCCACGTGCCCAACCCCTGGCATGTTACTTGGCCTCTGAACCAGCCTCCGACCTCTCCTGTTGGGAGTGTGGAAATCTCTGCTCTGCTCCTGCGATTATAGAAGAGTGTGGACTTTAACAGACTCTGGGTCTGCCATCGGTTAGTTTTGTAACCTTGAGAAGGTCAGGCCACCTCCCTCATAGCGTTTCCTCATCTATAAAATGGGTGCAGGAGAAGAGTCTCACGGAGCCCTCAAGAGGATTGAATGTGATGATGTGCTTAAGTGAGCACGGTGGGAGGGCCGGTGAGCCCCTTTGGGGTTCTACACAAGTTAGGGTACCATCAAGATCCTGGCAGAAGGGCAGGCAGCAGAGTGTCCAGAGGAGTCCGGCTGCTCCCAGAATTCCCGCAGGAATGAGCCAGGGGCTTCCCTGAGGACTTGGGTGGGGAAGGAGGTGGACGTGGGGAGAGCAAAGGGGAAAGTTGGGGTGGCAGGAAATGAGGTGCCATCTCCAAGCCCTGCGTGCTGCATCTGTGTGTCCTGCTGTGTGACTTAGCGACAGAGACCCAGCTTGGTAACACTGAGTTGGGCAAAGATTGACTCATTTCCTCTTCCCCTCTCCTCCCTCCTCTTTTGTTTCCTCATACTCCCCTTTCCACATCCCTAACCCTGCATGGGCCCCGCCTGCATGATTCTGTTGGCGTCTAGAGCCCTTTCCTGGCTGGGAGGCAGCTGCCGGAGAAACTGGCTGGAATGCCCCCTGCCTCCCCTGTCCCTGTGCCACCGACACCCAAAGGATCCTCCCCAGGTTTGAGAAAAGATAGCAAAGGATGTCCTGGCACAGGTGTGCCCACTCCACATGGGGGGCACTCTGAAGCTTTCGGGGACAAGGTCCAGTGACAGCTGGAAAAGGCGATGGTGTTCCTGTGGCTGCTGAGGCAATGGAGCGGTCACTGTCCCCTGTGGCTCAGCCCAGCCCTGCCCAGCTGGGTAGATACTTTGCCCAGGCTCAGGACGGACCCCTGGATCCATAGAATTGGGAGAGCTTGGACTAATGCTGGCCCTTGGCACCTTCAAAGTCTTCACCTGTGCTGGTCATAAATTGAACCTGTTAATGGAAATAAAAAGTCTTAGCGCTAGCTATGCAAAGAGCTTATTAGGTAATCAGATGAGGATTTCAGCCCAGGAAAAACATCTGTCAGGTTGCACTCTGTGAGCCCTCCTCCACCCATCACAAGTTTGAGTTCAGTTTCTAGATCTTGTTACAAGACAACATAGTGTGGAAGAAAAGGAGCAGTGAGTCATTGATGGTAAAGTGTAATTATTTTGACAGGTGCCTCTGGTTTTCAGCTGTAGGTATAGGATTTCCTGCGTTGCCGTGACCTAGTGGGATGGTGGTGCTTTTATGTACAGAGGAGGGCAAAGACTGAGGCTGAATCATCTTCCTGAATTTTAAGGATGGTGCTGCAGGGCACCGCGGCTAAAATCTTTAGCTGGTTGTTGGTCACGGGTGGACAGTGGCAAGTTGATGTCTCTCTCAAGGCTCCAGATATGTGCATGGGGATTTCACAAAACAGGACAGAGCCAGTTTTGGCTTAAGCGCCTGCAGCTGGCTTCGCTTCTGGCCTCGACCAGGGAGGGGGCTGTTCACGAATCTGTGCACAAGCCAGTAATTTGCTTCTTGTTTAAACGTGCTTGAGTTTTGTTTCAGTTAACTCTGTGGCTTTAGGACTAATACTGTCTCCTAGGACTGTTGGAAAAAGGGAGTGAGGTATCATGGGTCAAGCTCTTAGCACAGTGACTGGCCCATGGGAGCACCCAACACGTGGGTGGACAGGCCCTGCTCAGGGTGCCAGGTGAGTGAGTCTTGGTACCTGTCCTGGAGGGTTTCACCCTCCAGGGGAGACCCAGGCAGGTCAGCAGACTGGTGTAAGAGGCCAGGACACAGGATCAGGTGAGCACCCTGGCAGTACTGAAGCAGCCTGCCTGGAGGGAGCGGTGGGAGAGATGGGTTGGAGGGCACTTTCCAGACGACAGGAGGCCAAGCATGGGTAGATGCTCAGAAGGACCAAAGTGGATGCAATGGGCTGAAGTGGGTGCCCCAAAGACAGAAGTCCTGGCCTCCAGGGTGGGACCTGATTTGGAAATTGGGTCATTGCAGATGCAGTTAGTTAAAATAAGGCCACGTTGGGATGGGTGGGGGTCATGAATCCAGGATGACTCTTGTCCCTATGAGAAAATGGTCTTGTGGACACAGAGACACAGGGAGAGGGAGACGTGTGGTGCAGGCAAGGCGTGTGGTGCAGGAGGGAGACTTCTGCAGCTCAAGGAAGGCCGAGAGGGCCAGTCACTAGAAGGTAGGAGAAGGACAGGAGTAGACTCATCCACAGACTCCTCAAAATGCACCAAGCCTCTGGACACCTTGACCTTGAACTTCTAGCCTCTAAACTGTGAAAGAAGAAATTTGTGTGTTTTTTTTTTTTTAAAAAAAAAGACTTTGTTTATGCACTAAGAAATGGGGCACAGGTCACAGATGCAGGGGTGACAGGAGGATTCACCAGAAACAGTGGGGAGCAGAATAGGTAGCAAGACAAAGCACACTGCTGAGGGGAGCAGCGGGCAAGACAGGAGAGGTCTGCTCGCCATGTGGGTCACCTCTGGGGTGGGGATCGAACTCCCGCGAAGCAGCCACGGCTTGACTTAGCTTCTCAGTGCAGCGTTGCAACCCGCTGTGCCATCTGGGAGGGCCCAACTTGTGCGTTTTTTAAGCTACCCTGTGGACCTTGGCTACGGAAGCCTGGGAAACCAGCCTGGCCACCCAGAGGTCCCTTCCTGCTTGAGTATCATCTCCTGGATATGACCATGGCTTCCTACCAGAAACACGCTTGGACCGCTGGGTGTGCATCTGCACAGGGCAGAAATGTCAGGGGGTTAGCGCCCCCTAAAGGGATTAGGATCTAGACTATACCAATAATTCCTAAAGTCAGCAAGGAGATAAACATCCTAATAGGATAGTAGCCAAATAACTTCAACAGGTACCGGAAAGAAGAACTGTACAAGAATGTCTGTATGCATTTTCAAGTCTTCAGATTTGGCTGTATAAAAATGGACATTTGTCCATTGAAGGATTTCATAAAAAAAACTAAAATAAGGTTGAAAAAGTTTGTGTGTGTGGGGGGGGGAATCCTTTTCAATGTTCAGAACAATACCAAATAAATAGTAGAGTCACTATGTGAGGAAGGAAATCAGCAAGAAAGGACAGGAAACACTAGCAAGATGGAGAAGGAGGTGAATCATCAATTTTCAGGAGGGGAAATCAAGTGACCAGGAAGTCTTTGCTCAACCTGCTTCTAGTCCCAGAAACTAAGTGAAGCAACAAGATACCACTTGGCACTTTACTTTTGGCAAGAAGAATTTGAAGGGGGCCTTCCTGGTGGTGCAGGTGTTGAAGTCTCATCGCTAGGAAGCCACTGCAGCACCAGTTCAGTCTCTGGCCAGGGAGTGACCCACACAGCACAGCAGACCTCTCCTGACCCGCCTGCTGCTCCCCTCAGCAGTGTGTTTCAGTAGATCCGCCTGTTCACCCCTCTTGGTCTCTGGTGAATCCTCTCACCCCACCTCTGGCCTACACTTCAGCTCTTGTATACATAAATAAATCTTTAAAAAAAATTTTTTTTAGGCCCTCCCTGGTGGCGCAGCGGGTTAAAGCACAGCACTGAGACGCTAAAGACACTTCCGCATGAGTTCGATCCCCGCCTGCCCCGGAGGAGACCACATGGCGTGGCAGACCTGTCCTGACCCGCCCGCTGCTCCCCTCAGCAGTGTACTTCAGTGGATCCACCTGTTCTGCTCCCCGCTCTGTCTCTGGAGAATCCTCTCACCTTCCCCCCCCACCACTGGCCAACACCCCAGTTCTTCTACATAAAATCTTTTTTTTTAAAAAATGCCCCAGGACCAGAGCTTAGTTACGTGGTCTCACCTAGTAGCAAAGGCAACTGAGAAATCTTTCTTTTTTCATTGGGTGCTTTGATACCCTGAATAACATAGGGTTATTTTACTAATGAAGAAAAGGAGGGTGAATGTCCAGTGATGAGTCTCGCCCGAATCGCCCCACC